GGTATCACTACAGAAGTAGATTGCCCCATCTCCCTTCTGAGGAGAGGCTGGTGGGTTTGAAACGTCAGCCTTCTGGTTAGCAGTCAAGTGCCTTAGGCACTATGCCACCAGAGCTCCCAAATTAATAATACATTAAATAAAAAAATAAAACTCACTGCCAGCAAGTCAATTCTGACTCACAGCGACCCCCTTTAGGTTTCCGAGGTTGTAAATCTTTACAGGAGTAGATTGCCCAGTCTTCCTTCTTCCACGGAGTGGTTGGTGGGTTTGAACTGCCAACCTCCTGGTTAGCAGTCAAATGCCTTAGGCACCAGGCCACCAGAGCATCTTAATAATACATTAATAAATTCTTATTATAATTCTTTCTCATGTTCTTCTCATTGGCTGAGATCATGAGTAACGGATACCTTCCTTCACAAGCCCTTTGCTGACGCCGTAAATTTGGGGTTGTTGCTCTTTCTACCTGCCCTTTGCTTTGCTCCCCAAGAACAAGTTCTACAATTGTTGTTCTTCTTCTGAACATTCACTCATCATTGGGAAGATGTTTTGGTCCAATGCCTTCCATTTTCTCATTGCAGCTGTAAAGAAGAAAGTCCAGCTGTTGTTAAGAAGGAAGACAAGGTGCTCCGTGAGTTATTTGGAACAGACATAAAATGCTGTGCAAAGAATGAGTTAGGCAGGGCGTGTACCCAGCTGTTCACTGTAGGTAATGTACCACTTTCTTTTGTTTTCAGCTCTGTTACTTTGAAATTGAAAAAAAACAAAAGCCAAATCCCTATTGGATTTCTGAGGCGGTAAATCTTTATGGAAGTAGATTCCCCTGTCTTCCTTCTATGGAGCGGCTGGTGGGTTTGAACCACCAACCTTCTGGTTAGCAGTCAGATGCCTTAGGCACTGTGCCACCAGAGCTCCTTACTTTGAAATTATCTGGCGTAATTGTAACTGCTCAGGTCATCGCTCGACTTCAGAAATTTTGTAGTTCTTTTATACCATTTAAAATATTATATGATAAATTCTGTAAATGCTAGGAGGGAGGTTGGCATAAAAAATAGTTGACCTCTGAAAAATTCCTTTATGAGTCGTGCTTGGTAATGTTTGAGATGATGTCGAAATCTTTGCTCTTTGTAGTATTGGGAGTATATTTTGTGATGAGGAAAACAGCTCTTTGGTTGACTTGGGATGTTTCCATCTTACAGATCTCAATACGACTCCCCAGACAACATTGCCACAATTATTTCTCAAAGTAGGGGAGCCACTGTGGATAAGATGCAAAGCCGTGCACGTCAACCATAGATTCGAGCTGAAGTGGGAATTAGGAAACAAAACGCTAACGGAGGTAATAACACAAGTTTGCATTCTGAAGATATGGGAACAACGGAACAATAGTATAGATTGAAACAATTAAATTCAAACTCTGTTTCATTAAAACCTAGGACAGCTACTTTGAGATGAGTACCTATTCCACAAACAGAACTATGATACGGATTCTGTTTGCTTTTGTATCGTCAGTGGGAAGAAACGACACCGGGTCCTACACTTGTTCCTCTTCAGAGCATCCGAGTAAATCAACTCTGGTTACCATCGTAGGTAATGCAGGCTGCTAACGCAATCTTTATTCATGTGTTTAGTTACTTTCTTGTGGAACGTGAGGTATGTAAGGCAATCCCCGGGTTACGAACAAGATCCATTCCAAAGTCTGTCTTTAAGTCGAATTGGTAGATAAGTTGGAACAGGTACATATGGTTCTTATTTAGTGTCAGGTAGTCAAATGTTAGTGTGTAGATATATAAATGTTAGGTATAGTATATAGTATATATTTTACCTTTGTGTGCATAAAAACACTTAAACATTTCCAAATACACTAAAACATCTTAAACCTCATAATGTAGTAATAATAAAAGTAACTGCATATGGTATTGTACTGAAGAGGGAGAATCTGTGTGTGGATGTGTGTAGGTATATAGTACTATAAAAAGACATGAAGGAACAGTGCTTAAAAAAAGAATTGATTCAGGGTTAACACTCTTGTTCTGATGGTGTCTTGCATGCTGGAAGGGGCAGTTCCACTCTGCCCTCTAGGGGCGCTGTGGGTCAGAATCAATTCCATGGCAGTGGGTGTGGTTTGGGCTTTGCTTCTGTGAAGATTGACAGCCTAGGAAACCCTGTGGGGCAGGTCCACTCTGTCCTCTAGGGGCACTATGGGTC